AAAAACAAAACTTGAGTTTTGGGGAAAGGCTGCAGAATAGACTCGGTCACCATAATCCAGTTTGGGACAAGACTAGGGTGGGAATGCAAACAGAGGAGAGTCCGGCAATCGCTCCCCACAAACGCGTGCAAGAATTTTAAGGAGATTCAGCGACCATGACAAGCTGCCTTCAAAGAGGAAGTGTGATTGTTTCTTTGTCAACCAGCAATCAAACAGAAGGCCAAGAAACTTAACTGTTCACATTCTGGAGTAGTATGTGAGTCATGTAATACAATAGAATATTGGGACAAGAGGGTGTCTAGTGAAGGTAATGAGTTTTGTACTAGAAAATTTAAATCCATGAGAAGGGGCCCCCAATGGAAAACTCTGTCAATTGCATCTTGAAGAGAGACCGCTATCAGGTGACAGTCAGTGCCTGCATAAGCCATAGCGAAGTCACCCACAAAGTGAAGACCAATATGCAATGGAAGAATGGAAGGTAGGTCATTAATAGCCAAGAGAAAAAGAGTAGTGCTAAGGGCAACCTTGTGGGACTCCCTCAGCCTGAACAAAGTCTGAGGAAAGCGAGGCGCCAACAGACACGAAAATGTTTTTCAGATAAGAAAGCAACAAGGAAGGTTGGTAGATTACTGTGGAAACCTAAGAAGTTCGGCCTGGGTATCATATGCCTTCTCAAGATCAAAAAGAAGACTGCCAGGATGGAGTGTTTATTAGCAAAAGCATTTCGCACATACGTATCTAAGTGGAGCAAGGGGTCCAAAGTAGAGCGTCCCTTGCAAAGCCATACTGGCAAGGAGAAAGACTATTGTGAGGCTCTGAGTACAATATCAGAACATCTATTCACCAATCGTTCCATCATCTTGCAGATTACACTGGTCAGAGCAATGGGACAATAGTGAGAGGTGTCAAGCCTCGAGGTGCCTGGTTTGCAAAACGGTAGTACAATGGCAGATTTCCATTGTGGAGGGGAAACCCCTTGTGTCCAAATAAGATTGAAAAGACACAAAAGGGCTAAGGGCTGCAAAACGGGAGCTGGGTCAGAGCGTACTGCCACACAACTTCCATAAGTTCTTCCAAACTGCACACACAGGTGAAGATGAGGTAATGGCAGACACGCAGTCTTGCCAACAAGTGCGTTTAGTCATGTATGACGCGCGCGAGCAACTGCCCTTTCCGCGCTTAAAATCCAAAAGACGATCTGAGGTCCGATTATATCAATAACAGCCCCATGCATCACATTTCAAACGCACTGCACGGCACACACAGGAGACCACCAAGACATGCATGTCTGAGAATGCCTGCCTGAGGTGCGAGGAATAGAACGTGACTCCGCAGTCAAAACTAAGGTCGAAAACTGGGTGCACCAGTTCATCAATAGAAAACGAAAGAGGGTCCCCACAAAAGGTGGTAAGATGAGGGTACAAGTCCCAATTTGCTCATGCAAACTGCCAACATGGGCTACGAGGTGGTCGGGAATAATGTAGTAGAAGAAAGAAGAAAAGGAAAGTGATCACTGTCGTGTAAATCCGGGAGAACAGACCAAGTGTAATCAAGTGCAACTGACAAAAACAGATACAAAGATTAATGCAAGAGATTGAATGAGAGTCAAAATGGGTAGGAGCACCAGTATTTAAAACGTGAAGAGAATGAGAAGCGAGAAGAGTCTCCAACTGATCACCATGATAGTCACAGTGGGACCCTCCTACAGATGGCGAGTGTTAAAAATCACCGAACAAAATGAGCGGCGTAGAGATCAAAAATGCAATATCCAAGATACAGAATGCACAGGAGCGGGAACTTGTTGATAAAGTATACCAACGCACACAAGAAGTGCACTTTCATTAAATGATTCATTATGATTATTATAATCAAAAAGCGCTAAACCGATAAGGGTCATACAGCACTGTGGAGCAGGAAATAGCACTGAGGCTATAAACAGCTAGGTGGAGAGGGGATCAGAAGTGAGGGGAGAAAAGGACTGAAAGGGATGCTAAGGGCTATGTGTCGAAGTTCATACAGTAAAGCAGTTGCTGACAAAGTCAAAGTGATTGCGAGTCAAAGGCAGAGCCATCTGCAAGAAGGGAAGATAAGGTAAGAGTGGTAGGGCAGCGGCGGTGTTGTTGTTGGAGGTAAATCCCACGAGCTCACTGGTAAACCAGGCAACTGACAAAGTGAAAGAGCTGAAATAGGGACCCAAACAAACCTCACAGAGGAACAGGTGTCATTCCACAAGATACCAATGGTTAAGGAGAGTATGGCCGATGTGGAGATGGGAGAGCGCAGCCTCCCAAGCATGGCATGATGGTAAGATGGCCAGAGACCTAAAAGGTTTAATAGAGTGCAATTTGTTATGGTGCATGCCCGACCACCACTGTTGCCAGCAGCTGCCAAAGACAGGCCAAGATGACTGGAAACTAATCTCTGAATGGATACCTCTATAGGAAACAAAGATTATGCACTGCTGACCACGCACAACATCCACTTGTTCACTGCCCTGCACATCAACGTGTCCAGTCTTTGTTATTGCTAGTCACACGGCGCAACCATAGTTGAACACGAACTAACGGATGAGGGAATAAAATTGCTTAATGGCTTGTAAAGCACTGAGGGAATCTGATATGATCACAAATGTCGAAGGAGACATATATGTAATATGAAGAAGAGCTAGGAGGATGGCATAAACTCGGCAGTAAAAAATACTAGCCGAGTCCAACAAATGGCCTCGGACATCGTTAGGAAAATACTGCTGCGAACCCAACACCATCACAAGATTTAGAATCTCTATAAACAGCTATGGCATGAGCATGTGACCAGAAGTTATTGAGAAAAAGAGCGAGAAGCCAGTCATAGGCAGGAGAGCTTTGACACACGGTAGTAGGGGAGAACAGACAAACCGTCGGAGCTTCCCAAGGAGGAACAGAAAAGGCAGACTCTAAATGAACATACAAGGGAGGCAACTGGAGAGAAGACCGGAGTGAAGACAAACAGAAACGGTCAGAGTAGGCAGGGTGCCAAACAAACAATGGGTT